AACTGATACTTATTTTACTTATTTTATTTGTTTGACCCTTTCTGACTCATCTAACCTCCCGAACTCTTAGGTAACATACAATTTCCTTTGTTTCGTTGTGCACCTTGCTTACAGCTCACTTACTAAATTATTTATCTCATTATGTAATTCTACCAGCCTTATTCAACCTCTCATATGTATTGATTAGTGCTAGCAGCTACTCTTATGATGATTCATCGCTTTCTTCCTATCCACTTTCACAAGAAAAAACTGTGTATAAATGGGATTATACTGCTAGAGAAAACGAAATTGCCTACTTTCAATGAAAGGTGCACGTACGTACAGAATGATCCTAAAACACTTAATGATGTGGTAGACAGCCTAGCGATATAAACAGGCCGCGAATAAGGTAAAAAAATGTAACCAGCTGATGAATTAAGGTGTCATGAATGCTACCCAAGGACTCATGTTCATAGTGTTGAAGGATACTCCACAGTTCACCAGAAATACTTCTTAAATGAAATTTATTCCTGTGGTAGTGGACAATTTACGCTTTAATAGTGATATCCTCTTGGGTTGCGAGTGGAACATACGGCTTCAACAGAACATCTCCAATTCTATTCACCTGGCTCCACTATTTTCCATGAGCTTTCATTCCCTCGTCACATGATCTCATCCACGTCACTCTCGAACTGACACTCAACTTATCGTCTCTTTTTCGGGTTCCACTTGAGCTATAGTCTGGCACCTGATGTCCTCCAACTATACTCTCAATGTGTGTCTGACCTATTTCCACTTTCTTAGGGATATTTGTTGAACAACAGGTTCTTGATTGGTTCGTTTCCAGAGTTTCTTGTTGTTAATCCCTTCTGGCTAGCCATCTGATCTTTAGTGTGAAATGAAGGAGTCAGCTGTTGGTAAAAGTCCTCAGAAGTCTGTTAGAAATGCTTTTGATGACATGCGAGTCAATTCTCTGAACCAGAGAGAAGCGCTGACTGAATTGGTATTAGTGTTACAAATCAGAATTGTGTTCTTTTTGCTGAGTACAGCGGTGCGTCGGTGGCATAGCGGTAAACTACACGCCAATCACGCATGTGGTCCAGCGTTCGAACCCCGGCTGACGCACTCCTTTACCTCGATAAGTCAGTCTTTAGACTGGTAAAGAGGGAATGTTGGGCATGAGGCTAGCAACCCAATTCCGCAAAAATAAACACCAGTGCTACTGAAACTTCAAACCTCTAGCTTGAAGCCCCATGTTCCACTGGGAACTTAAAGGAATAAAAGAAAACAGAAGATTTCCCGACTGATTTAAAAAGCGATAGATAATAGTTGTAAGCAAATAAATAGTATGCGTAATTCTAAGTCAAGTTATTTTTAAATTATTCTAGGGCAAAAGTAAATAATATAGTCAAATATAAATTACTAACAGTCGCCTTGTCTGATTTCGTTGTTTTTCAATATGCCATTTTCTGTCATACTGATACGCTTGAATATATTGAATATTTTTCCGTATTATAAAAACTTTTTTACTTCCTCTATGCATTAATTTGTCATTATGAATATTGTTCATTTATGGATGACGAAAGGGCATTGATTAGCATATCTAGGCAATAAATAAAATAATATTAGGTAATAATACTAGTTTTTTTTTTTTACAAATTTATGCATAAGGATTTTTCTTTCGCCTCTTTTTATTTTTGTGTGAATTTATAAATTCAAAGGAACTACTGTTTTTTCTTCTTCTTTTAACGGAATAGCTGAATAAATAAGTTTGCATGTCATACATAACCTGCTGTTCGAATTTGAAAAGAGCTGAAGAAACTGTAAAAAAACTTATCATTGTTGCGCTTTGGTGAATCATTTAAAAGGTTTTCTTTAAAGTCTTTTGTGGATGAGGTATGTAGGTGGGCTAAAAAATAATACACATACAGTTGGTGAGACTATTTGTAACAGCTTGCAGCGGCTAAACTGTTACTGGTGTAATGGCTGATGACTTTAATGGGAAACAAAACACTCCATTACAGCAGGAGTCGAATTAGAGACTTTCGAACTAGTAATTGTGATAGAATAATCCCTCCTAAAAGATCTATTTGCCGTGTTGAGACTTATATGGATGTTTCAACTAACTTTGTAATTCAAGTTTTGGTTTGTAGGGATTTGATTGGTTACAGGATTTTCATCATGAGCTGACATTAGTTAGAGAACCATTGGAAAACCTGGGAGTACTGAACAGCTGTTTCGTCCTAGTTTGGGACTCTTCATCAGTGCGCACCCATCGGGATTCGAACCCAGGACCTTCTGGTTACAAGGCGGGCTCGTATACCGTTAAGCCACTGGGACCCGATCCAATGGCCCATGAATTCTAACTTCTGCCAATTCACGACATAGCGCAACCGCTAGCCAATGTCTTCGACGAGTATTTGTCCTCACACCCAACCTGCTGCAACCTACTGGTCACGATTTCTCACTAGAACCCTAGGTAACTACCTACCTGAATAGGGCAAGTCGCTAGTGAGCATCTCATTGATATTCAAGTATTGGTTTGTAGGGATTTGGTTGACTGGTTACAGGATTTCATCTTGAGCTGACATTGGTTAACCAATTTTCGAACCCAGGTGTGTGAGTACTGTGAAGAGTCCCAAACTAGGACGAAACAGCTTTCCAGTACTCCCAGGTTTTCCAGTGGTTCTCTAACTAATTTCAGCTCATGATGAAAATCCTGTAACTTTGTAATTGTTATCCTCTCTTCTTCTCCATAGACTGTACAACTTTATTCCAACGTTTACATATCATCTGTTGACTTAATCCTCGTTATTTGCCTTTCTTCCTATTTGTGGTTGTGTGATGATGTTGATAATGTGCAGTTGTACGACTACAATTTTGTTTGAGTGAGTCAACGTCATTCTGACCTTGGACTGTTTACTGGAAGCATCGGTGTGTGAATCTTCCTGACAGAGTTTTCATTCCACGATTGTTGGAAATATTCTATTTGATTCTAAGGTACTTCTTACACTTGAATTTCAGCTAAGTAATTTCATTTGACCTAAAAAATTATCTAGCCTCTACAGGTGCCTAACGGCATAGCTGAGGTCATTTTGAGTGATTTGATGCTATTTCTTTGCAATCAGTAGTGTTCTCTAGGCTGGTTGGTTTAACTGCGGAGCTTTCATCGTCTTTCTGGACAACATCTACAGCGCAATTTTCAGCATAAAGTGAACTGATTTAAATTTTCCATAAGTGGTAGAATTCCGTCTGCCGGTAACCATCTTTGCATATGTATTAATAGTTTTTTATTGACTCGGATTTTAAACTTTCTCGTCACATGATTAATTTTTTATTAGTTGGAAGATTTGGTCTATATTAATATGTTTGTTAATCGCATGTTCGTTTGAGTACCAGGCTTCTGGGAATTCCCTGGCACTTTTGGTGTTTCCTCTGTCTAAGATTTTGACATTATCCCAATCAAACTCATGTCCATAATTATCTACATGCATTGATATGAAAGAATACATATAGTGTCTTTTCACAGCTGATTTGTGTTCCTGGATTCTGATTCGAAGGGGACACCCACTTCAACCGATGTAATATCTGTTACAGTTCATGCAATTTATTTTGTAAATGGTATTAATTTTATCTCCTTTTTCTGTTGGATCTTTCGGTTTGCACAATATCGAATTAAGTGATTTGACTGGCTTGTGTGCTATGTCTATTTCAAACGGTTTCAGTATTCTAGCTGTTATTTCAGAGATATTTTTTATATATGGTAGGATGAATTTTCTTCTCTATTATTAATGCTATTTCTGTTGAATAGAACTATATATCTTATGATAAATAACCGTCTTTTCGCCATTTTTATGAAGAGTCTTGTGACTGAGAGCATCTCAAAAATGTTTCGGACAGCTCTGCAGTAGGACGTAGGATGCCTTCAAACCAAACCGAGTCGGTTTTGATCGTTACATTAATCCAGCCCTCTGCCACCAAATCAGTATCCAGGTGTTCTTAAACAGTATACTGTTGCAGGTATTTACTATCTTTATGCATTGTGATGAAGCGAGTATTTATGCTTTGAATACAAAACATGAAAAGCATAATCTATGGCTTTACAATCCGCCGATTCACTGGTATTACAAAACTCTTTCAGTTAAAATTATACACTAAATGCGAAACTGTGCTCTAAGATTCTTGTACGCATGCACACCAAGTTGTTCTTCATTTCCATGGAGAAGATTGCTTTTAAAACTTAAAACAGGACGAAGAATATTTTAAATAGACTAAAAGAGTTCATTGCAGCTATGAAGGCTAAGGGATTGAGGAAATAAATTGCCTAATACACTTTGCTGATGATTAGACATTCCATCAGTTTATGTTTAAAATCAAGCTGGGTTGTGAGAAAAGTGAGCAAATCAACTTCAGATTATAAGATTTGCTGGGATTTCGGACTGATTTCAACGAACCAATATAGGCCAGAAAGATCAGTGAAAACCAAGGGGAGCACTGGACAACCGTTACGTCCTATTCTGGAACTCTTTAGCAGTGCGCACCCACGACCCCACCAGAGATTGAATGCAGAATCTTCAAGTTACAAGACCAAGTTTGTTGACCATTCAGCCACTTGGACTGGAATCCAATAATCCCTGAATTCTTAATTTGTCAACTCGGGATATAGTGCTGCCTTCACCAAGCTTGATTTCAATCCCTTGATGGGTCACGGGTACGAACTGATTAAGAGTCCCAAAATTAGGAAGAAACCATTGTCCAGTAGTCCTTCTAATTTTCAGTAATCTCTCTAACTAATGTTAATTCGTGACTAAAATACAGCAACTTCAATTAACTTCAGGAAGAGAATATTGATGTTTATCCTTGCATTTAAGGATATCCCAACTAATTATTTCTAGTGAAGTCCTTATCTAAGAAATTCGGTTCTTTCAACAAACGAGGTCATATTCCCTAGGATTTCCTATTAAAACTGATCAATAATTAGTTACAGAAGACTGTAAAACACGAAATTAATGAGATTATTATTACATTTGTATATATACACAATAATATACTTCTGTTTTCTTTATTAAGATCTTATGCTAAAAGGGATTGCGAGGTGGTGGTGGGGGTGGTCGAGGAGGAGAAGGAGGAGGACGCGAACAACAACAATCCCAAATTGTTGTAAACTCTTCACCAAAACTTCAAATTTCCTGCATTCTATACTTTGAGTTAATAGCATAATGATGTCATCAGGAAGTCAATTATCAGAAAAGAGAAATGATAAAAATTAGATTTAAAAATTACAAAGAATTATAGCATTCATTATAGCAGTGTAATTCTGATTTTGACTTTAGTAATAGTAGTTAGTAGTGAGCAACTTTAATTGAAATACAACGAGGAGGAGTTCAATATTCATTAGAAAATGAAGTTAATCCATTTAAAATACTGAATAAAGATGAATACTTCTGTTATTTTGAAATTTGATTCATTAAAAGAAAGGGAAATTAAAGTATTCGAACAGATTAATTAAACTTTAGATTAATACATATATCTATGCAGAACAATGGTCAATAATTATTGTACAATTAAAGTATTATTAACTAACATTTAAGTAAATTTGTTTTAATACTTATTTAAAGCATTTAAAACATTTCTCAGAAATATTTAAATTATTGATTATCAGCGGATGAATCGTCTATGGTAGTCTATGGTAGTTATCTATATTCACGTCAACTCTTCTATTAAAACAAAAAGTCATTTCTCTTTAACTATTACACATTACAAATTACAGGTAGATATTCAGCCTTGTAACAAAAAAAAGAATACTGAAAACATTGAATGAATTCATCCATATAACAACATGTACAGTACAAAGAAGTTATTAATATATAACATCTGAATATGTATGCATATCTATATACTGTTATATGCACTAATTGCCTGAGGGTTTCATGCCCTAACAACTCTGTTCAGTGAAAGTATTTTAACAAAACCTCAATAATATTACAATAAGAAAAATTGAACAATTGAACAACATTAGTTTAGAGGTTATTTTAAATTTGCAAATGTATATATCGTTTATCTATTTGTTAACAGTTTAAACAATTTATATTGTACACTATTGGTAACAGTCAAGAATATTAAATGCACAGAAATGTTATACACTGACGAGTAACAATAATATTTAATAATAAAACGTTTACTATACGTAAAATGTGTTAGATATATGTAAGTATTAGTAAATATCAACTAAAAACCATTGATCATTGTACTCATTTTTGCTTTTTCAAACAAACATCTGTTTGTTTACATACAGTCGAAATTCTCTTTCATTTAACGAGTTTATCAGTAGTACTTGCAGTATAATACAAGGAGAAAGGGAAGTATTTTTAGGAAATGGAAATTAGTATTTCTCTTGTGGATTATCCGTGTCATCTCCTGATCTTGGGAAGAAGAATATTATAGATATCCCGAGTGCACAGAGGTAGATAACAAAAAATAGTCGATCCAGCACCATACCAACTGCTCTCCATTCAGCAATAATTTTATTATTCTTTTCTTTCTTACAATTCTGTTTTTGCATATAACGTATACCTTTTACAATCTCTGAAACATCACGTGTAACCATATTTACACGTTTCAATAGACGATGATCAATGTCATTGTTTGATTTTTTATATTTAGGATTAATAAAACTGCTTGAATTAGCTCTCCATAAATTGGTATTCTCTGCATTAGGATTAATTTCTTTATCTGAATGATGATTTGATCCTCGATTACCACGACCACCGACACTGTGTCCTGCTGAACTCCATCTTGGTAGATTCATATTTGTTCTTTCATCTTCTGAATCATCTTGACATATTGGTGAAGTGAATGGATAAAACGGAGATATTGGTTGAGTACTGTGTAAGGAACTATTCCATTTTGTGTTAGCTGCTGATACAGCCTTTTCAGAAGCTCCAGGTTTAATACACTGGAGAAGGAAATGCTCTAGATCAGGTCCGATATTCTTATTCCGTGTTGAGTATGGCTCATCATCTTCATCATCTGTCACTTCTTCTTCATCTTCACTTGATTTGTTAATTTCGTCAAGACCACGAGATGACATACGTTTGTTATACGTATTCGATTCATTTATTGCAGCCTCCCAAACAGCTGCTAATTCATCTGTTGGATCCTGTTGAAAATGATTCTTTGGAGTTGTCTGCATAGAATACTGTTGTCCACCGTGATATGCTGCATCAGCATCACTTAATCCACGGTTGGATGCAGCGGCAGCTACAGCTGCAAGACCAGCACAAGCTGGACAAAATGAACAAGGTGTAGCCTGCTCATCCTCTTGTGTTGGTCTCCTGCCGTACTGAGAATAGTGTTTCATCTGAGTCTCATTATCAGGATAAAAACAACTAGGAACTTTGTGATTTGGGGATCCTGATGTAAACTGTGATCTCATATGCATTTGACGAATATTACTGTCATAGCATTCGGGTGAACAGAATTTGTTATTGTATGGCTTTCCACATCGATTGAATTTGACATGATCTGGAAATGTTAAATGCAAAATAACACCAGAATACCAAAAAAGAAAACACTTGATACAAGAAAACAATGAAACAAAATTTTATCTTCTACAGTTTTAAAAGTATACTTATGCTTCGTGGGAAAATAACACTAGAGGTTGAAATGTGTTTTAAAGCTCACTTTTACACTGTATGCATCATTGCATAAGAAAACCATTTGCCTTTACTAAATCGGTATTTCATGAATAATTTTCATTCGATTTTATTAAGTATTTCGTATTACCGTGGTTGTTCATTTTACCTACTAGTCATATTGCCTTATCTCAGCGGCTGAGTGACCAACGAAGTCACCGCGTAACCTGAAGGTCCTGGGTTCTATCCCTCCGATGGAATCATGGGTGTGTACTGCGGAACGTGGACGAAACAGCTGTTCAGTACTTCTTGCTGGTTTGGTGCGTCAGCAGTTCAGCAGTAGGATTCTCGTCAACCAAATGCATGGTCCAGGGTTCAAATCCCAACCGACTCACCCCCCTAACGTCTCTATGTCTGTAGTAAGCCTGGTAAAGTGGGAAGGTTGGGCGCGAGGCTAGCAATCCAACCCCATAAACGTGACACTTCTGCTACTGAAACCTCAGAGCTGAAGACTGAGACCCTATGTTCCATATTGCCTTACATAAGTTCTCACCAATTTACTTAACTAACAATTTACACGACTAATCATCATTTTTCACTCGAGGATACTTTCTTCTCTTGCCGATTTGTTTTCCAACACACTTTTTTAATAAATAGTTTACCGACATTTTGGCATTATTACCAACTAACAATTACTGAAAATACATATGGAATAAAATATCATTTAGAGAACCATTGGAAAACCAAGAGGTAATGAACAGCCGTTTCATCCTAGTTTGAAACTCTTCATAAGTACGCACCAAAGACAGTTCGAACCATTCGGCCACTGTGACCCATTCCAAAATCCCATGAATTTCTACTTCTACCAGTTCATGATTTCAGTGGGACCACCATCCAGTGTTATCGCCTAGTATTTGCCTTGTAAACGCAAAGTCCTGGGTTTACACCCTTGTGAGGAGTCCGAAACTAGGACGAAACAACAGTCCAGTAGTCCCCTGTTTTCCAAAGGTTCGCTAACTGATATCAATCTGTGATCTACATTTAAACCAGTCAAATTCCTACAAAGTAACTCTTGGAATAAGTTATGTTGATTTCATCGTACAAGTGATAATTTGTTTTTCCACTTCCAGTCTAAATGATTAGATACCTTCTGGATACTTTGAGAATTTTGTAGAATATTTCTAAGCCTTTTTACTTTTTTGTTTTGCTTGGTATACTGATGAAGAGTCCCAAACTAGGAAGAAACAGCTGCCTACTTCCCCCAGGTTTTCCAGTAGTTCTCTATCCGATGCTACCTCATGATGAAATCGCGTAACCAGTCAAATCCCTGCAAACCAACAAGTGAATAGCAATCTGACGCTCACTAGTGACTGGCACTTTTCAGGTAGGCGGTTACCTAGGCTTGAGCTGGAAGTCATGACCAGTGGGGTACAGCCAGGCTGGTGTGAGGACAAATACTCGCCGAAGACATTCGCTAGTGTTTGCACTATGTCGTGAATTGGCAGAATTTGGGATACCTGAGACATTATATCGGATCCCACCTGCTGAATGGTCTACGGGATCGCTTTGTAACAAGAAGGTCCTGGGTTTGAACTTTGGTGGTTGGTGCGTACTGATGGAGAGTCCCAAATTAGGGTGATACAGTTATTCAGAACTTTCAGGTTTTTCAGTGGTTCTGTAACCAATGTCAACTCATCATGAAATCCTGTCACCAGTCGAATCTCATCAAACGAACACTTGGATTTTTCTGACAAGTTGATTATTCCGGCGATGTCTAATTATATCAGCCGTGTTTGTTCAGTTATAGTCATTTGTCAATATTTAATTTGTATTTTACAGATGTTAGATCTTTCATTTCTAGTTTTGTTTAATTTTTATGGAATTAGAGAAAAAATAAGGATTTTAAAAGTAAGAATTCAATACTTATACCACTTGTAATTAATAGTGTTCTCTGAGCCGGTTGGTTTAGTTGCGGAGCTTTCGTCGTCTTTCTGGACGACATCTTCAGCGCAACATTTAGCATAAAGTGAAATCATTTTGTCCAGAAGGACGACAAAAGCTCCGCAACTAAACCAACCAGCTCAGAGAACACTATTAATTGCAAATCATCCACCTGAGCTACAAATCTTCTCTGTTATACCACTTGTAGTGTTCCAGAACTCAACTGAGTACATTTTCCTTTACACTAAATTCAGATATTTTCTTCTCATAATGATGGGCATTGGTACTGCATCCTCAAACGTTTTTAAAGCTTCCAGTGTATTTGATACTATAACCAGCATGCTTATTATTTGATGTATTTTGAATAACTTCTCAATTATCATGAGTCTCTGTTATAAACTTATCAACTGATGCATTTATTTGTTCCTAGCAGCTTTGAACACGGGATCTGAGTCATAGGGTGTTGTTCATGTTTGCCAAAACAAGAATATCAAGGCAGCCGAGAAAGAAGAAGTGTTTTTTCATGGGATTTAGGCCCACTGTTGTTGAAACATTTTAACTTCAAATTGAAAATCAAATTTTCAGAGAATATTTTCTATCTTCGTTACATCTGTGCTTTTCACCAGTTTCTTTTTCTTCATTACATTATAATAACTACACAGATATAGTGTTGCCATTACGACACAACTCAGCACAAACTCAGATGTTGCATAAATGATTTTGTTGTGATTATTTTTGTTCTGTTTGTTTTTAGTAATGCATCGGAAGGGCCTCAACTGTGAATGCATTAAATGTAATTATTTGTCTTGGTGGTTTATATAGCAGTCCGGTGTCAGACACACACTCAGAGCTGATGTAGTGCATAAAACGCTAGAGTAGCAAACTAGGTAGAAGCTAGTGTCATGCGTTGAGTCCTTTGTCTAATGCAGACTAAATTCTATCAGTGAAGTTTACAATGTGGCCACAATGTTCGGTGGCTTGCCATCACGATGTACTGTGAATTTTTGTTAATAGATGGTTGGAGGGAATCTGCAGGACGCCTTGCCTAACATAGGTTTCATGTTGTTTTCACTATTTAACAAGGCGTACTTACAGTTTTGAAGGAACTTATGTCTTTCTGATATTCAAACCTTGCTCAGACAGTGCCATAGTCGGAGACGTTACAACTGAGCTTTTTGTTCTCGCGACCGACCTCCTTAGGACTGTACACTGGAGACTGTGATTGGCCACTAGTTTGTAACTAGTGTTTTGCGTTTAGCCCTTTTCTGGTACAGACTGAGTTCTATCAGTCAGACTGAACCTTTCATGATCCGTTTCATTGTATTTTAATTTTCTACACATTTGGTGAACTCATCACTTTTGGAAAGAATGGGAGTGTACTGACCTATGTAGAGAAAACTGCATGCTGTTTCTGTAGGAGTCAAACGAATAACTGAATGATGCAGTTCAGCTGTATGTATGATTGAAAATTTCGTGCGTAAATGACAGTGTATTCGAGTACCTGTGGTAAGTAGCCTTCATTCAGATTATGAAACCTGGATTTATGTAGTTGCATCGAAAGATTGATTTACATGGTAAGCAACTTATAGCTTAATAATAAACACAAAATATGTTAAACTTGATCTACAATAGAAACCTTACCCATAAACTGTTCATTGAATTCATTCCTCATTAGTGAAAATAATTTAGGATTAAATGAGTTTCCATGGAGTAAGCTATCATTTGGTATTCCACAACCATGTCTACAGTTCATGTTTGATTTATCAGGCATCTTATTAGATGTTTCTGTAGCCGGAGGCGGGCCACCTGGTGGACCAACATTAACAAATAAAATACGAGCTCCATGATGTAGGGCCAACTGAAATAATAAATAGAGACATAAAAATCCTTTGTTAGAGAAAAATAATTAATAAGTGAAGTTATGAAGTGATCAGGTGAATTGTGAGTAGCGATTTATGCCTTCAAACTGTCACGCTTAAAAATTAAAAAAGTGATAACTGGCAAATGTAGGGTTAGACATTAATAAATCTGATGTTATCCAATACGCCTTACCACGTGTCCTGATTAGGATTCAAGTAATCCTAAGGTTGTGTGACTTTTGGAGGTTAATGTTAAGTGGCTTTTTGTTGTTCCAGTTAGCAACCTGGCAACATCCATGTCAGTAGTTTAGTATTTTTAAGTATTTTTATATCTTCAAAAGAATGGACACGGAACAAAGAGTACTCTTTTCGATGAATTCATCATCGAGTTCTACAATTATATATACATTATAATGAATGAATTAGTGTAACAGCTGAACAGCATCAACATAAAATAAGCTGAATGTCAGAAGAATTATAAAGATAATAGTACAAATTCATGAGTTTATAGTTTCTACTGAGGGCCAGGGCAGAGCACTGGTTGTTTGAGGCGAATCGCAATAGCCTCTGCTGTTTGGAGCATGCGGTGCTTCGACGATTTTGGTAATTTGCTAGGCACGCGGTATATTATTTATCTGCTGACAACTAATTGCTCCGAAAATACGCCAAAGAAAGTAGAGGTGGGTTGGACACACGCTGAGGAGATCGTCGAATGACATAGTGCGTGAGGCTATCGCTCCAGTGGAATCTGAATGGGAAACTACTAGTTGGGCGTTGGCCCGACTGTGGCATGAGGAGATCATGTGAGGAGGAGATGACACCCTATAGGCTATCATGGGGCCAGCTGAAGAGAGCTTTAGAAAACAGGACAAAATGCAGGTGTTGTGTTAAACCCTCTATAAATAGTAATATCTACAGACACTAATATGTATGTCTATAGGCTATGCAACCAAAGTTGATCTGTTTTAGGCAAAATAAACGACACGCAAAAACCACTTACAATATAAGAATAAAATAGATGCTTTTTAGTTATTAATAACTAATGTGTAAACGACCAAAAGTATTAAAAGTTTACGGGAATTCCATGTCTATAGAGTAGATAAATTGGAGTTGGATTAAAATTGTAGTGAAAAGTTATTCACCTTAGTGACTGATTGAAGTATAGCAGACTTCAAGCTTTATTCGTGCATAAAATCACTTCAAACGGTTAAAGTCAGAATTTAAATCTCGTCAGTCTCCTCCCATTTTCTTCAGTCTGCTTAATTTCAAAGAAGAAGCTCTTTTCTCTCTGTGAAATTTCACTCGCTAAAAATAGACCACTTTTAAAGGCTTTGAGAGAACAAAAAACATTAGTGGTAATGCAGGGTAAGATTTGACGTAAGAAGTGTTACACCGAGATTTTATCGAGAATTTCACATTTTTCTAAAAAAAATAAAGTAAATTGTTTCATCACATCAAGTATTCAGGTTTTCACTTTATAGGGACATCAGTACCTTGATTATTATGTACAGTGTTCTGGAAAACAGTGATCACATAAAGTTTTTTTTAAAATATTAGATGTGAGCACATTTACTACAGTTTAAGAGAAACACATCACTAAGCAATGTACATTAAAGATTTTGGATGATTTAAAGAAGTTTATGTTGAATAAAGATTAGTAATGCAACAGTTCTTGAAGTTTAGATGTTGGTCTTTTTGTAGGGATTTGGATTAATTTTTTAATGCAGATTTCGTCACAAACCAACACCAGTTAGAGTGACCGTTGAAAACCAGGAAGCACTGGACAGCTATTTCATCCTAGTTGAGGACTGATAAGCAGTGTACATCCATGACAATACCAATGATTCAACGCAGCACACGCAACTGAACTGCCAGCGAGCCTGGCCTCATAACCTGTAGGTCTGCGGTTTTCCCCTTGACGGGGTCGTGGGTGCAAACTGATGAAGCGTTTCAAGAATGGGACGAAACAGTTAGCCAGTGCTTCCTGATTTTCAGTGATGTTGGTTCGTGAAGTTATTGATGTCCTAACTAACTAACTAACTAACTACCTAACTAACTAACTAACTAACTAACTAACTAACTAACTAACTAACTAACTAACTAACTAACTAACTAACTAACTAACTAACTAACTAACTAACTAACTAACTAACTAACTAACTAACTAACTAACTAACTAACAAGTTGGCAGAAGAAGCATCAAAGATAGGACTTCAGGTGAACATAGAGAAAACAGAGGTGATGAAGATTCCTGGCCAACACCACCAACAGCAACAACAACAACAGACAACAATCAGCATAAATGGGAGGAACCTAAAAGAAACAACCTCTTTTACCTACCTACCTGGGAAGCATCGTTTCAACTACAGGCGGACGACTGACGAGGATATCAAAGCAAGAATCGGAAAAGCAAGACAAGCTTTCACTACTCTCAAGTCTGTGTGGAGGTCAACAGCACTCAGCATCAAAACGAAGATAAGATCCGGATTTTCAACTCCAATGTGAAGTCAGTGGTGCTACTATACATGGATCAGAGACTTGGCGCGTCATAAAGAGCATCTCAAACAAACTACAGACCTTCATTAACAGTTGTCTTCGCTCAATACTCAAGATCAGATGGCTGGCCAGAAAAGATCAGCAACAGAGATCTCTGGGAGCGAACCAACCAGGAACCGATTGTGAAACAAATAAACAGGAAGAAATGGAGATGGATTGGCCATACTCTGAGGAAACCATCAAGTGACATCACTAGACAAGCCATTGCTCGAGTGGAACCCGAAAGGGAAGCGGCGAGTTGGTCGTCAGTGCAAGGGTGACTTGGAGGAGGTCATGTGAAGAGGAGATGAAAACGTGTGGGCAGACTTGGAGCCAGGTGAAGACTCTAGCAGAGAACCGAACGCAATGGAGACGCGTGGCTGAAGCCCTATGTTCCTCTAGGAATTAAAGGAAACAATAATAATAACAACTAACTAACTAACTGAAACCGCTAAAAACTGTTTACCTCAATGTATTTTTCTCTATTTACTACCACTTCATTTCTTTCCTATTGATTTAATCACTAATGAAAAGCAATTTACTCGAACGTTTATATGTGTATATATTTATATTTAAAAGTTTTCGCTTGTTTTGTGTGTACAGAGAGAGAATAAAAACAAAAATATAATTGAACAATTAGATGATTGAATGTGATGAATGTGTACGAATGAATTAACAGATGAATGGATAAATATAAACATCAATTCAATACACATGACTGTGATGATGATGATGATGATAGCATGGAATAAAGAGAAGGAAGGAAAAGATAATTTAATATGACTCATTTAACAGTTGATTGACTTGTTAGAATTCAATGTATGTTTCATTGTTTAACCAAATTGTTTCATGTTAAGTTATTTGTTTATTTGCTTTTGTTCTTCATTCTCATGGATCAGATTACGGCAACAAGTTTGAACACTGCTTGTTATAGCGAATAAGCTAATTGATTGACATAAGTAAGAAAGTGTAGCAGAATAAGTGACTTGAAAATCCCTCCTGAAAGATCTATTTACAATGCTGAATATTTCAACTAATTTCTTTATTATTAATACCCTTTTCCCTGATCTGTGGATCATATTTCAAACATTCGTATATCTTCTTTCGTCTTAATCCTTAATATTTGTCTTCGTCACTGGTTGATGCCTATTTTTAATGCTTCTCGTTTGCTGATCTGTGATGGTGTTCATAATAATGTGTTATTTTATGACTATGATTTCTTTTGGATGAATTAAAGGTTAGTGTATGGACTGACTGCTTCCCTTTGGATTGTCTTCAACGTATGTATTTCCTTCTGCGTTATTCTTAATGATTCTCAATGCGCATTTTGTGGCTGACAATCTTTCAGCCTGTATAGCTGTTGGATGGTACTTTTGAGGTGATTTTGTATTTTTGATATGAATTATTATTTATTGAATGGTATCACCGTTTTTATCACTTTTGATCGTGTTTTGATGTTGTTAGAATATACGTTTTAACTGTGAGTGAGTCACGGGAGTTTGGCTAGCTATGCCAAAGAATGCCTTGATCGGTTTCTTGGGTTCTGAACAGAATACTTGAGGTTTGGCCACGACAACAAAGGCTTCCTTTATTTTTTATAGAACCGTATTTTACTGGGATTTGCAAAATTATCCACGACCAGTTACAGTTGCAACTGGTTTACACTACATTTTAACTGTAGTGTAAGTGTAGAACTTGGGCACTATAGTCAAATGTAATTCCATATTAGATAAGTTTATTTTAAATATCACACAGTGATGCAGTATTAACAATTGAATGACAAGGTTTCGAGCATAAATTATTGCTCATAATCATATCAATTTAGTCACATGGTTTCACAATTTGTCTTATATACATGTTCTATCTTTCTCTCACTCCAACTTCACTTGTCGTTTGTTGAGTTGCGTCATTCTGATTGCACGTGTGTGGTGTTGAATCGATAAACAAAGCTTCTGTGATTTACTACTCTCTCCACCCAACTGTACTACTTTTTAATACTCTCACTCAATTTTGTGATTACACGCAAGTGAATGCAATGCAATAGCTGAGCTTTTTTCTAGGTTACTGAACTTAGATCTAGCTAAATTTCTCTGTTCCACTAATCTAACTGATCCTGATCTACCAGTTTGATCTATGTAACTGACCTCACAGTCATCATATGGTATTAGAGGAAGAACTTGTGTTTCTCGAAAAGATGTTGAAAAGCAACGGTTACCCTCAAAGGTTTATTAACAAGTACGGAAGATCTGAAGTCTCAAATGTCAAAAAATCACAGTGGGAAAACAGCCAATCTACTTTCAACTTGATAATAAAGGTGAAAATATTACAGCAGTTGTCAACAGAAGATTGAGGAGGTCACTAGACAGAGCCTATCCTGCAGTTAAGCTCGTTCCCGTCTATCGAACAACTTGCTCTTTGGTGCAATCGAAAATCGATAGATATCCTTCTCATGTTAACTCCAACTGTATATACAAATTTACATGTATCTGTGGGAGCAGTTACATTGGAAGAACAGAAAGAAGGGCATATCTACGCTTTTATGAACATGTACCAAAAAGCCTATGTTTAAAGGGAACAAATGCTTTAAACATTGCCATCGCCAGGCATCTCCTTGACACGGGTCATGAGGTGGACGTCGCAAAATCGTTCAAAATTATCAATAAGCAAAAGAGTTCAATTCTCCTCAGGTTTGCTGAAGCCATCTCCATCAATCGCCTGATTTATGAGTTCAGAAAGAAACAGTTATCAGTCTCTTCTGCCCTGGTAACTGGATATTTTCACCTCTCATTTATCTGATTACGCAATGTCGAAACTTTCCATTGTGTATGATCATTAATGTTTGGAATAGTGTTTAATATTATATATATATTATTACTGTATGCATATATTGATTGATTTTTGTTTAAAAATGAGCTCTGTGCAAGTATGTTAAAATTGTTTCTTTAGATATACTTAACAATGACTTTAGGCTGTAAGCAGCTGATAAGAAGCCAACGAAATAAATGATGGTACCATTTTATTCTGTTGTTCTTGCTTTATTCAAATTCATTAGGGGAATATATGTATGAAATATACAAGACAAATTGTGAAAACCTGTGACTAAATTGATATGATTATGAGCAATAATTTAAGCTCGAAACCTTGTCATTCAGTTGTTAATACTGCATCACTGTGTGATATTCAAAATAAACTTATCTAATATGGGATGTTAACTGTAGCGTAAAACATTTTCTCCATGATAAGTAACTTATTGATCTCAGGTGTATTTAGCTTACAACATACAAAACTGATTACTTTTATTGCAGTTTATTTCTTTCCTTGTGACCGAATGGATTAAATGCGTGTTCGGGAGCTTCTCAAAAAGTTGTTATTATTAACATAACATTGTATAGTCTAGTGAAGTCTAGCTAATTAAATGTCGTTTACTGAGAAGAAAGACTTTTCTTTTTTGATATGACGTTTGCATTGATCAGTTGCTATTTAACACTTTTTTATGGGATAATCTGTCTTCAGTTTTTCACAGTGTTACACTATCTCATGAAGCTTCTAATTAATTATTAATGTACGCTGGAACATTTACAAGTGTTTACTTTTTGTTCCCATATATTCTTTAACTCATGAAAACTATCGAATGACTTGTACCCTTTAATCAATAATCAGGTTGTTTCATTCATGTGAGACAAAATAAGAGGGATTATATCAAGAACAGGGTATTTATAGAATGACATATATTATCAGTGTGCAACTATTATTGTTATTATCCTTATTCCCTTGGATTCCAGGAGGAACATTTGGCTTCAACACCACATCTCCATTTTGTCCCGTTCACTGAAGTTCTCTTCAGTCGGCTCCACGATTGACCATAGGCTCTTATCTCTTCCATGTCACTCATGCACCACACCTAGACTTATCGTTTCCTGTTCAGGTCTGGTGATGTCACTCAACGGTCTTGGCGTGCGTCAGATCCATTTCCATTCTCTAGTTTCTTGAGAATATTTGTTGATCAGTAGATTGTCGATTGGTTAGTTCTCAGAGTGTCCTGTTGCTAATACTCTCTGGCTAGCCATCTACTCTTCAGTATGGAGCCAGCGAAGGTGGTTGTTAAAAAAATTCTGTAGTCTGTTGGAAATGCCTTCCGTAAGGATGCGTCAAGTTTCTGACCCATCTAGAAGAAGTGAGTGACTTAACATTGATGTTAAAAACCCGAATTTCGCTCTTTATTGCCGAGTGTAGAAAATTTCCACACTGATTTCAGAGTGATGAAGATCTGTCTTGCTCTTCCAATCCCACCTTTGACATGCTGATGTGTTCCATCTGTAGTTGAAACGATGTTGCCAAGGTAAGTGAAAGTCATGACCTCTTTCAAGTTTCTTCAATCAATAGTGGTTGGTGCTTGTTGTTGTTGATAACTAGGTAACTTCATTACCGCTTTCTTCTCTATGTTCACTTAAAGTCCTGTCTTTGCTGCTTCTTCAGCCAGTTTATTGGTTTTTGTCAATATTTCTTCGAGTTTGTGTGACACTGGACATAAATCGTTCGAGAGGTCCAGATATTCTACAGTCTTCTTATTTGTCCAACGTATTCCTGTCTCTTTGCTCCCTACAGTCTTCAACGTAATTCAGTCCACCATAATTAGGAATAAAACAATATAATCAATATAATTCCCTTCACTTCTAGCCTAACTCATCTTTGTTCTCAAGTGCGTGAAGATCAATTATTCACTTCAAAATATTCACCTTGAATATTCTCTGAACTGAGTTTTGTCAAAATATTAGAGCATCAAGAGTTTTAGAATAACCGACATTAAGCTAACTGCCTGAAGATAATGGTTTTGCTTTTGTATTTATTTAAAGAACTAAACTTCTTCTCATTATTATTAAAGCATTCTTTTAATTTCTTGTCCATTATTACTTATGTATCTGAAGGTATATGTAATCTCTACAACCACTAATGAAATCCCTGTAGATTCTCTTTTTGAGTAAACTGGGTTTAGTTAAATTTCTTGTCATAAGTCATAAAAACACACGCACAAACACACACACACAGGAAACGAAGACGCCCATTCTTGACTAAAGTGAATACACTGAGGGATGTAACGTTATTTTCTGAAATAAAAACTGCTACTACTACTACTAATTTGGTGGGAACGAAGTACTGTATTCAAGTTAAACGATAATCGTTATATACTTGGAAGCTGGTTAGAATATATAGATGAATGTATAAAACATTGTGAGGCGCAAGACTAAGTGCCACTTTCACATCTGTGAAATCACATATCACATTAAAAACGTTATTCATCAAATAAAATGATTATACTATACTCCTTGAATCGGGTGGGGGTAGAGAACAAGAAAGTTGAGAATGTAAAATGTTACAATTGAGAAGACAAAATAATACTAATGAAGAGACAGAAAATACACGTGGTAATTATTTAAAACTCTAGCATAGTGATTAGGATCCTCGCCGACCATTCACATAGTCCCGGGTTCGATCCCTGGCACTCCTTTACCTCGCTAAGCCAGGAATAACGCTGATGAAGAGAAAAGGTTGGGCATGAGGCTAGCAACCCCATCCTGTAAAATAAGCACTGCTACAGAAACTTCAAGCCACTAGCTTGAAGCCCTATGTTCCACTGGGGAACCTGAAGGAAATAAAAAAATTACTAAAGAGTTAGAAGAACTGAAAATTCTTATTTTTGTCGATGACGATCATGTGGAATTCTTATACACTAAGTAGAGTTTGTTGACTGAAACAAGTATATTTATAGTACTGAACAGAAGAGAAAAATTCTCTTCCAATATAAAATAATTCAAGAATTGGTATTATTTGAATTCCTAGGCCATTCGAGATGAATGGTCTGCCAGCTTGACTTGTAAACGGAAGGTGCTCGGTTCGAAACCCAGCGAGTGTGTACTCCTGATGAGTCACAAACTGGGAGAAAACAGCTGTCTAGTACTCCTTGGCTTTCAACGGTTCTCTAACCGACATCAATCTGTGAACAATCTTGAAATAATTCAGAAACTTGAATAGTCATGAAAAATTATTTTTGAAACCACATATACGTTATTTTTGAACTGAAAGCTAATTCCCTATCTATTAGTTTGATATTCATAACAATTCAACTACAAACATCCTTTGATATTTTTGTTTTTGACACTCGGTGTCACCGAGAACTGTCAGATTATTTGTTTTGCTCATGAAGAGCCTGTCAGTATCGTGATATATATATGTTTATATAAGAGACACAATAACCAGAGACTCTCTTTGTCATAAGTTTTTGTCTACAGGTTTTTAGAAGCTATTAGCAATGTTTACCTAAAACCAGCTATAGAGATACAGTAACAGGTATTTCGGGTATTTAACCATAATCCAAGATTTAATTTAGCCGATCTCTGATTAACTTATTTCGACAGTTTAATTGCATACTGTAAGCGGTTTTAAATTTTGTTTATTATTTGATGAGGTGAATTCCCGCGTGCTGACATATATATGATGAAAACTAGGTGTATATTCAGAATTATCCGATTGAATTGTATGGTAAAAACTATCGACCACATTAAGGACCGCTTTCCGGTCTCTTAACGGTCTTGCATTAGCAGTCTTCATGTATGCAAAGATTTCCAGTCGTGTACTTCTGAATACTAGCATCACGGTGTGGTGAGTTTTGAATTCTTGTGAAGTATATTTATAGGTTTTATTTTGGTTGAAGACCTAGTAACCACTTAAACATACTTTTGTTCAATAAAATGTCTGCATTTTGATTGACAGTGCCTACTGATCCTCTAACATCTAAATATATATGTGTGTGAGAGCTAGACAATGATGATGAGAGAGACAGAAACAACGGAAACGCCAATATTGTAATTATATGTTTTTACAATAACATTCAACTGAATACAAAAACTTACTTTTCTTAGCCAGAATGGAACTTCAGTTCTTCGATCTCCACGAAAATGTAAATTGACGACAATAAGGCACAGAAATGTGGAGAGTGTAACCAAGGTCATATTTATGCAGTAATAATTACCTAAATATGAATATAAAAGAAATATTAGCAAAAAATAAGACCTACAATATGGAAAAATTGGAGTTGAATACGCATACATGTAATTGTTTTAGCACTTATTACTAATCTCTTCACTCAGGATTCACTACGTTGTATGTATGTGTATAAATAGTGACAACATGATTGTCAGATAGATAACTGTCTGGTATGACAAATTCATATTCGAAAAAGAGAAGACATTCAGCGAAGAGACTCTTTTCGGCGAATTCATTCACATAGCTGTACAATCGCATTTATATATAAATATTTGTGTGTGTGTGTACATGAGGTTTGTCAAGTTTAGATAATTGATTAGTTAATACAAGAATGATGTAGTATAGAGACAAAGTTAATCAGACAGCAACTAAAGTAAGACTGAGTTAAAAAACTAGATGACGTAATATAATTGGCTAAAATGTTACAGCTTAGGTCAGGATAGCAACAGAGGTAATTACAGGTAGAGATTAAGTAGAAGTGAAATTGAGTGAATAAGTTGGATGACGTAACATGAATGACTAGAAACTGAGCGTTGTTCAAGTCAGTAACAGTGGTAGTGGGGTGTAGAGATTGAATCGGGTGGGGGTAGACAACAAGAAAGTTGAGAATGTAAAATGTTACAATTGAGAAGACAAAATAATACTAATGAAGAGACAGAAAAAAAAAGATTAGGTAGAATTTACATGTCGGCTAATAAGATAGATTACGTCCATTGCAAGTGTAACGATTGAACGAACTTCTTCTGTATGCAGAGTTCAGGACTTAGCAAGTGAATCGCCATTGCTTCTGCAGTTTGAAGAAGTCTGATTCGTACACCTTTAGGGAGACCACCTCTTACTCTGTAGACGACTTTGAAGTTTGTTTGCGGTGTAGCTTGGTGTCTGGATTCTATCAGATGTTCTAAGATGGAACTGCGGGGGCATCGATTTTCTCCTTTATAAAACCATGCTGGTAAGTGCTCGGTGATACTTTAGGAAAGCGAGCGCTGGGGTACCTGGCTCCACACGAGCAGGTGAATTGATAAATGCACATTGATGAGGCCAGCAGCGGTAGCTTATCCTTCACGTTCACATGAATCATAGGTTTTGTGGAGAAGGTTAGTCGTAGTTCAGCTGCGAAGAAGGTATTATTAAGTGAGCGCGACAGTCGATTTTTTAGTGTTTCCGCAGATAGATCTCCATTGAATTGGAGGTTCATGTAGAGTAGTTTTTTCTTGACGCTGAGTATGGGCGGCTTTTCTGGCCTAGGATTCATAGATTTTGCAATAAATCTTTTTGGATAGCAATTCTCGACGAGGATTCTCTTGAGGTTGTCCAGTTCATCTTCTACGGTGTCCGGGGTGCAGATTCTGCGAACTCTGTAGCTGAGTGAACGGATCAGGTTTCGTTTGGTGTATAGTGGTACCCAACTGTGAAAGTTAGTAAGCTGTCCGTTCCACGTCGATTTTCTATGGATAGATCTTCTCAGTGTTCCATCCTGTTCTCTTCTGGTTAGTTGGACGTCAAGAAAAGATATTGTGGAGTTGGACTCTTTCTCCATCGTGAACTGAATTGCAGGGTGGCAGTTGTTAAACGACTTTAAGATGTCGTCTAGATTTTCTTCGTTGTTGACGATAATGAAGGTGTCGTCGACGTATCTTTTATAGATTTCGAAGGTATTGATCATTTTCTTCAGGCATGTGTTTTCGAGTTTTGCCATGAATAAATCTGCAAGCAAAGGGCCTAGTGGTGAGCCCATAGCTATACCATATTCATATTCGACTACTTTTTCAGTTGCATATACAAAGTACCCAGACCTAATATTGTATCCTTGTATCTGTTTAAAGGATATCAGTGTGATGACACTATTGAATATCCCCATGTGGAGTGATACAGATTGATAGGAAGCGGGCAAAATTGAAATCAACACTTAAAGTCAATGACTGCAGAGATAGAACTGTCTATTTCTCAAGCTTTGATTTAGTTCACTTTGTGGACATGAAATAACCTCATTGGACAGCTTGCCTAACCTTGGGCCAATTGCCGGCCAATCAGAATGATTTATTCTCCTCTGACCTAGCCGAACTTTAATATGGCTTTGAATGTATAAATGTGTTTTTTTTAATAAAGCTTTATTACATATTCTTTCATCTCCCGTTACACTCATAACGGTTGAGTGTTACTTGTTCATCATTCTTTTTTCCAGTGTGTCCTACAATTATAAAATAACTTGAGCAATCTAACTGTTTCTACTGCAAACACGCTTATTTTGTTTCTCATGTGCTGTTTACGTGAAAAAAGCTATTTTTTCAATTAGTTTTTAACCTGAGGCTGCATAATTATATCTTTGTACAGTTGTCGCTGAAAAAGTGGATTAGGGATAATACTTCTGCTTTTACCCGGCAGTGAATAGAACATGTGGAGTAATAAATATGTAGCAGATGAATAAAGTAAAATCACTATAGTTCTAAGAACACCTCTATTTGTGGAAATTAATGAGTTATTTGCAGAAAGACACACTAACATAGTAGGAAACTGTTCACGATTACCAACTGACAATCTCTGTACATTCTCTATATTCTTTCACAAAGTAACACTTTTAAGATATTCTGAAAGATTCATCAAGATAGAATGTTAAATAATGCTGGGATTATACCTCTGGAAGCCTTTAAAACACACGCAGTTAGTCAGCTGAATCCCTTAACCTTTCCTCCTTACACTTCATGCTTAAGAAGTTTTACACTCATTATCACCACCATCTAAATCACTGACTACATTAGGCAGTCTATGCATGTTCTACAGTGAATAACATTAGAGGATGGCTGATTTCTCTCTTTAAAACATTTTTCCTTAGATGATTATTCAGCATTAGTTTTACGTGGAACATTTTCCGCTAAGAGATTAATCAAGCAATGCAGTTTAGCGAAAGAGATTCTGTTGTTCATATATGAAAATACAACATTGGCCTGTAATCCCATACATAACATAATTCTCTGAGTAATAGAAACAGTAATACGAATAAGTTAAATTCCCCAACCGCAAATTAACTCTCTATTTTCAGAGTTCAAGGTTATTATCTCACCGAGATGATTCAGATCACAATATATGATCTGCTTGACACCATGAATGGTAATCAAAATAGCAAGCATAAATGCATCCAGCTATATACTACTAACTGACAGATTTGAGTAGTTGGATACCAATGATATCAACCAGTAGTACTTGCTGGCCAGTTCGAAGTGATTTAAGCACACCGGACATCCGTTCCTCTAGTTTGGGGTTGAGCTGATTACTGGTGTACACGGAAACACTTAACTCAGACAGCGGAATCCGTTGAAATCACCCGATTTCTGGCTAGGAATAACTGATTTGTTTGCGTATAATTAACTCACTTAAAACATGACTAAGCCTAAAAATACAGTGACTGTTGCATTTCAAAATATTACTGGTAATCCGTTACGAAACTAAAGTAAAATGGAATAGGAACATAAACTATTACGGCTTACTTTAATGTTTAAAGTATTACAAATAATTTTATTTGCCTATTTTCAATGTAGTTTATTTCTTAGTGTCATGGTTAATTCTTGATAGCATACAAATAATATTATTATTATAACAAGAACTGTCAACACACTTGAGGCTAATTACAGTACAGTTCACTGTTGAAGTAGAAAGAAAAATTCCTTCTGAAATTAGAACAAGAGACTTTTTGCCTCGTTAAATTTAAGAAAAAGGCCATTCGTTAAATAAATTCACTCTCTTGTCGTTAACTTATTCGTTCGTATATATTTACGCGTTTAACTAATTTTTAGGGCGAATAAAAAGAAGATATGCTTATTTTTCACGGCTTATTGAAGACAGGACATCTGAATAAAATGAAGGATAATTTATGTACAGATATACACAGATATATTTCTATATGCAAATAAATCGGATTTGCGTATTTTCTTCTTCCAAATGACCTCATTTCTAATCTAAAAAAGAAATTACTATTACTACTACTACTACTAATACTACTATGAATGGAATTTATCATCAGCTTAATGCTGATTACCCAGTAGTTATTGACTTATGTTAGTGTGTTTACTTATACACATATTTATATGTGCATATTAACTTATATGGACACTCTTCATTAGTGTCTTCGCGCTCTCTCTCTCTCTTCGCTTACCCACACTATCAACATCAGTTCACTGATTCAATTCATTCTAGGGAGTAAATCAGTAGTAAATCAGATTATTAGATTTTCTACACTCCTATAATAATAATAATAACAATATACAACTTTGAATAATCCCTGAGATTTGGGAATTTGTTTTAGCCTTAAGAATATGTAAGCGGCTGAGAGATGGATGTGTGTATTTCAGTGTGTGTGTGTGTGGTGCGTAACTGTATATTTTTGCATAAGTATGTATGTGTAATCATGATTTCTCATGCTTTATAAGTTTTTGTAACAAGGAAACAAATTTTTCTTTTAGCGATGATTTATCTCTAAGAGAAGAGAACAGAAATTCATACTATAAGCATACAACTGATGCTTTAGGCTTACAGTTTGTAAATGAGCCTGTCAATAATATATATATTAAATGGGGAAATGTGAAGTGCTTGAGGCCAATTGATGCATAAGAGTGTACAATCTTATTATGACATATAGGCCAATGTAATATACTCTGAAATCTATAAGGCTTATATGAAACATTCAATGTAGCATGTTTGTCTTCAGTGTTTTAACAAAAATCAGATAGTTTTTTTCCTTATTGCTTTAAGCCAAGGGTTTTAAATGATGTCACGTGTCAAAAGTGTAAATTGTTTGACGCTATGTTACTCTGAATAATTTAGTTTAGGCTTGGTTGTAAATCCTGGTTGGTCTGTAAAACCATCCAGTATTCAAGAAATGAAATGCATTTACTTTAAATCGTTCACTTCGTAAATTCGCTTCGTTATTCTGAAATTTAGGGAATCAATTCAAGGTTAAGAATGATTGCTGATTACATAATTAAAAAGATAATAAATTGTGTATAGGACTATTTTGTTTACTATTAAATTGTCGTGAATGTCTCTGTTCTAATATATGTAGCAATTTCAACAAAATAAGCTTTGGTTACAGGATTTCATCATGAGGTGACAGCGGTTAAAGAACCATTGGAAAACCTGGAAGCACTGGACAGCCGTTTCATCCTAGTCTGGGACTCTTCACCGTTACGCACCCACTGCCAGGATTCGAACCAAGGACCTTCTGGTTACAAGGCTAGCTCGTAGACCATTAAGCTATTGGGACCCGATCCAATGGACCATGAATTCTAACTTCTAGCTAGCGTAACGCTACCTACCTGAATAGGGCCAGATATTCAAGTATTGGTTTGTAGGGATTTGATTCATTTGGTTACAGGATTTCATCATGAGCTGAGATTGGATAGACAACCATTGGAGAACCTCGTGGTACTGAACAGCTCTTTCGTCCTAGTTTGTGAATCTTCATCAATATGCACACACCGGCGGTTGGGTCCGGTGGTCCTTCTTGACAACATCTTCAGACCAAACTTTAGTATGAGGTGGACTTGTTTGAATTCTTCATGAATGATATAATTGTATCGCTTGACAGCAACTGCCGTGATTGGTTGTCAGTTTACACTGATCATTTTTATTGACATGGAATCTGACCTTTCGCGTTGTGTGATTTATTTTTATTAGTTGGTAAATTTAGTCTATACTAATGTCCGTGTTAATCGCTGATTCATCTGAGTACCAGGCTTCTAGAAATTTGCTGGAATTTTTGGCGTTTCCTCTGTCTACAATTTCTACATTTTCCCAATCGAATTGGTGTCCATTATTGTCTGCATGCACCAATATGAAAGAATGCATATCGTATCTTTTCACAGCCAGTTCATGTTTCTGGATTCTGAGTTGAAGGGGATATCCACTTTGACCAGTGTAGTGTTAATCTCAATTCACGCAATTTCTTCTGTTGATGGCATTAACCTTGTCTTCTCATGTAGTTGATCCACACAATGCTGAATGGAGTTATCGTGTTTGGCTTGTGTTTTATGTGATTTAACTTAATAAGTCAGTAAGTTACCTACTAAGCTTTCAGTCATTCATGTAGTCAGAATCCATTTCGTTGATTACTTTGAGACCTACATCTCATGACTATAATTCGAGGACTCATACCGATAAATGATACTATTTACCTAGTATATTAGTCCAAATATAGTTAGTACTGTGAATTGTATTTAAAATGTGACTAAATGGAAGGGATGGTCCTCTTAAGTTAGATTATAAATTCAAACTACTAAACAGAATTAGTTCAGGATTAAATTCGTAAAAAAATGCATTAGTGAATAATGTTCTGAATGCCTTACAGAAATGGTTACTTACATAAACAAATAATAATACCTGTAGAAATAATTACATACATCTGGTTTTATGAATGAATGCAAAGTTTTAAAATCACAATTCTAGACTTACCTATAAGTGGAAATGAACTAGAAGCCGATGGGATTGAATTCTCCAGCAGTAAAAGTAAAAGGAAGAATGCCAGGAAAATGTTCATACCTGTTGTAAAGGAACAGACACAAAAATATACATTCAGTGATGTATAATATTTTTGCATTCAATTGATATGCCTTTTTAACAGCCCTAAGTTATACAACAGGCAAATAGAAATCACAATATTGTTCTCTAATTATAGACTGAACCTTCGCAGTATCCCACTAAGCCGACCATTCTAAATAAAGCTGTTCATTTGTGGCCCCTTGAACTAGTCATCAACATCATGATGGTTGAAATGATGAGTTCTGACTCCGAGTTAGTTAATCAACTCTCACTGCAGGTGCACATGTATCATGCTGATGAGTTCCAAATAAGGTGAAACGTGCCACATTGATTCCACAGCTAAATATTTAATATAACTATTTATACACAGAAGTAATTTTACAGAATTGTGGGGAAGTAAATGTCTACAGTTCGCTTTCTTCTTTTAACCAAATCGTTATATACTCATACTTTATAAACTATTTGAATACTTTTAAATCTATATTGGATGCCATACATCACAGCTGAAGGTACATTTTATGTGTTATACAACAGCTTACTATGCGTGTTAGCTATCAGTTTATGACCATGGAGATATTTTCCTAAGTTCGTGAAACAATTAATCTTTTATTTTGTAATTATTATTCCATCATGTTCCGAGTGGACCATACAGCTTCAACAAAACATCACCATTTTGTCGTATTCTCTGGTAGCCTCTTCATCTGACCCCAAGATTTTCCATAAGCTTTCATCTCCTCCACGTCACACTCAGACATTCACTTGATGCCTATGAGCAGTCTCTAAATAAAACCTTGTAATACACACTTCTGGTTCAAGGTAAACATGATAATCACATAACTAAGTCATTTATCGTGCGTCGGTGGCATAGCGGTTAGAACGCTCGCCAACCATGCATATGGTCCGGGGTTCCATCCCCGGCCGGCGCACTCCTTTACCTCGCTAAGCCAGTAATAATATTGGTAAAGAGGTATGAGGCTCGCAACTTCATCCTGTAAAAATAAACACTGCTACAAAAACTTCAGGCCTCTAGCTTGAAGCCCTATGTTCCACTCGGAACGTGAAGGAATAAAAAGAAGGTCATTTATCATCATTCATTATTCATTCTACCTCGTAAACTGTCTTCACGAAAATCTACGGAATAACTGGATTATTCCAAAACTGAATGTTGAGTAACTCAAATAAACAAGTGAAATGACGCTGAGGGCATAATATATGTGACGTTCATCTGTTTAAATATTCCATTTATTGGAAAGTTTAGAAAATGATGAGAATAACTTTGCAGTGTAGCTTTCATAATTTTAGAAAACGAAATCATTTGCTATCAAATTACCATGACCTCACGTGTATCCTATATACATAAATATATACATATTTAGGACACTGGTGGATTGTGGATGACCCTAGTGGTGTACGACCAAAGGTGGATAGTGTATACTTTCATCCGAACAGAAACATATGCATCCATTTGAATGAATATTGCGTGAAGTATAACGGCAAGAATATGTTGCTCCTATTTTAGATGATATATCATATTTCAGCTCATAAAAATAATTACATCTGAACAGATCTTCATTAGTTGTTAAAATGAGCTTTAGGAAAGACATTAGGTAATGTATGTTTATATATAATGGAAATATTTCTTCGTATGCAAACGAGGACTCAAAAATGAGAAAGTTGAGCATTACAGGAGACAGTTTGGCATTCATACATAAATACTGTTAATGAGTTGTTCTAGGTGTATGAAAAATTCAATGGCCTAAAATATAAGTCGGAATCAACTGTCATTACTTAAAACCAAACTCAGTTGACTGTCAGTTTTTCAAGCATGACACGTATTAAATTTAGCCCACTCACTGATTAATCCAGTGACTTAACTTACGACTTTTTTGACTGAAGGTTCATATTAATAAATATAAGCCATTTTTCATGATGTGTGCTTAAGTTTGGCCTTGGGTCACTTCAATTCATTTGCCAGTCTACGCTATCTCTGAAGCAGACGTGACATTCAGTTATCGATCAAAGGTCATATGTACTGCTTAGCAGTTCGGTCCGTCCTCTTTTATGGCTGTGAGACATGACCAGTGAAAGTGGACGACGTGAAAAAGCCAGCTGTCTTTGATCAAAGGTGCCTGAGTTCTATCCCCCGTGTTAGGTGGTTTAATAGGATTGGTAATATTGAGGTTAGGTGTTGAGGGTTAAGTAGGGAGGCGTTATAAATCGATGAGGTTGTGAAGCTGCATCGATTAAGATGCCTTGGATATGTGTTACATACATCGAGCCATCGCTTTCCTAAACAAGCAATGTTAGCTGACAAAGGATCAGGTTGGAAAAGAGCTAGTTGTGGTCAAACCAAAAAATAGCATCAATATATAAAATCTTTAACAGTTAGTTTCAACCATGTATGGAGATGTAGACCGTCCGGTTGGGGTCCTCAGGATTCTTAGAACCAACGGCTGAAGATAATTGGTGACATGGCTCAAAATCGTTCTCAATGGCTCAGATGTATTCACTCTCTGTGGTCTGCCGTATCCAGTGAAACTCTCTTGTTTTTCTTTGTTACTATTCTTTTTCCCTCACATTTCTGCTTATTACAGTTCCCTGAACGTCTGTTTTAGTCTCTTTTGTCTACCTTTGTATGCTACATGGGGTGTGACGACTCAAACTGCTGTACATCTGTGAAAAGTTCTATGTTGAAACCAGTCAGTCAATCAGTCAAGACAAAAATATTAAAATTCTCAGTTAAGAGTTACGAGGTTAATGCAAGAGTTACATGGATTTCATTAAAATCGTTTTTCTCTCCTCATTTCGAGGGTATTCTGACTTATCACACGGCATGTTTTTTTCTTTACTTTTATTGTTATAGTATTACTGAAAGCAAGATGGCTACACAGAGTATGTATGCACTTAAAACTTACTTCTAGGCACCTTGTAATGTTTGATACCATTTACTATCTTTACTTTTCTTCAACATGACATATTATGAAAATAGCTAAGTTACATGAAAACAAGTGGAAATTATACAATGATAAATTGACTCGAATGATATGTGGCAAGAAAATTTACTCCTACTAATATCAACTAAAAGATTTTACCTCTAAAATGACAAAAATCAATCGATAACCCGAGGCATTTGTCAGGCATTATGACATAAATAGCTGTACATATATATATGAATGTCAATAGTGAAACGAATTTTCAAAGTATTGATGTACATTTACAAACATATTTCATTTTCGGACAAAAATGTCAGATATATATATATATATATAACAGCATCAGTTGTTCATTTCTGATGCTTTGGCTCTTTCTCGTCATTGTTTTCGTCATTCTCTTCTGTATCTACTTCCCTTGCTGCAGTGTTTATATTATATATGTACATATATATATATTCCTACCTCTTTTTGAAGTTTGACAGATTTACAGAAAAAGAAACTCTTTCTTGAACAAGATTCTTTAAACGAAAATGACAAATCATAAAGAAAGAATTGGACAGAAAGCTTTTAGGGGGATTTTGAAGAAGTAGAATAACACAGTGGGCGAGAGTGAATATTGTTGATGATGGATGAAAGAATATGTATATAATCTTTGCTTGGTCTAACTTTTGTCTATGTCATTATTACTACTGTTATTATTATTGTTTTGTTAATTTTATGATTTGTGGGATATTTGCGAATGTGTTATTGCTTGCGTTCTGCTGTTTTGTTTGCTTTTTGTATTTTTCAGTCATCAGTTCTCACTTTTTTTTAAACTTTTGTTGTCATTGGAACTGACGCCATTGAAAGTGTAGGCTGTTATTGGCCTAGATATCTCGTCGTTTGACACATTTGCTTTTGAGTTTTTTTTTCTATCAAACATACACTAACAGTAATCATTTCAAAAGTCTACGGAAGGGTTTTCGGATTATCCCAGATGGATATGCGTTTCCAGGAGTTCTGAACTTGTTGTCTGTATAATTCATACAGTGGCTCATGTTTACTGATCAACTTCTCAAGCATATAGGTTAAAACTAGGCTTAATTGATCTGAATTGGTTCATTAGTGAAGTTTGTGAAGATAATATAAAGGAATGATGCTGGTTAACTTCAATAGAGGTTGATAACTGTGACACTGGCTAGGAGTGGAAGATTCGTCGAAGTATTATTAGATTTTCACCAGATCTTGCTCATAGCTTTTAGCGGATTATACTTCTGCACTTAGTTGCAGACTACTTGATTGGCAGCGAAGGAGGTTTACTGTCAATTAAGAAAAAGTGGTCTACCACATGATACTCAAATAAATATTTACTGGTCAGTCTTAAATAACAAACTCTGGATTAAATGGTGGTGTCCTATATCTATACAACTATACATATGAACCGACACAAATCGATTCATATGTAAATGTAGTGCTTTGCACACCTAATATTTATTGCTTGTAGAGTATATACTGAGCTTAGAAACATTTTTATTCATAATAGCTGCATGAAAGCAGGGTATTATTTGCAGTTATTTGAGTTCATTGGAGGAAACATTGTTTACCTGTATACACTAGTGTCAATTTCACCTTTAGGCATAAATTAGACCTAAACAAACTGGTTAGCTCTCACGAGATGTGCAACATAGATGGCACTGAAATAGAAACCAAGTCGGAAATTAAATACCTAGGCGTTATTCTATCTGCTGATCTCTCCTGGTCGTCTCATATCTTGGCGATTTCTAAGAAAATATTCCGTCTTACCTTCTACATTAAGAAGTTAAAACATTCTGGTATAACCCAACCCTTACTCCTACAATTCGTTAACTCTCGCATTCTGCCTATTATTCTCTATTGTTACCCCTTAGTTTTTCCCGGGCTACTGAAGAAAGACTATAACTTATTACGCAGGATGTTAAATGTTGTCAGCAGGGTAAGCAACGTGCCACTTAACCATCTTGTTAATATTCTGGTCGACAGGCACATGGGCTCATGTGAAAAATGGGCTAAATCCATTCTATCTAACTCACAACACCCTCTTCACTCACA